CCAAAGTTGATGACCGGGGAGCTTGGGGTTGGATTATAATGGAGACGAACCAAAAAGTTGAGAAAGGGTGGGGGGACAGGTTATTTGTGGTTTTACTACCAAAGTTGATGACTTGGGGGCGGGGGGGGTTGTTTGGGGTTGGATGATGTTGGAGACGAACCAAAAGGTCGAGGAAGGGTGGGGGTTGTTATTCGTGGTATTACTAACTGTACCAAGGACTGGATTTCGGAAGTGATCAGATACTACCAAAGTTGACGACTGGGGGGGTGGGGGTTGGGTATTGTTGGTTGGAGACGAACCAAAAAGTTGAGGAAGGGTGGGAAGCAGGTTGTTTGTGGTTTTAGTAACTGTACCATGGACTGGGTTTCGGGTGGAATTATGGGAGACTCATGGGAAAAACGTGACTGTTAGGAAGATGGTGTTTAAAGCCCAGCAAATGACTTTCAAGCCGCCGTGCTTTCCCTCTTTGTGGGTTGTTTGGCCATGCCCCCCTCGTAATAATAAGATTTTACTTTTTTAATGCTATCTAACATTATTTGAATTAATCCTGAAGCACTTCCCAGAATTAATTGATTTTACATTAATCAGGTGACGATTAGACATATTGGTCTTCAGTTGTCACAACTCTCAATATGACTCTGAGTTTGCTATGAGGGAATGAAGTGCAAAAGGAAGCTCCGCCCATACTCTATAGTCTGTTTTAGTTGGAATTACATTAGTGGAATTACTTCCAGTTCAGGCAGACTCTAACATTCTCTGTTACTTTTCTGCAGGTATCTCAATGCCCATTCCAGTGATTGGACTGAGTAACAGGGAAAAGGTCTTGAAGAATGGCATCTGTGCTCTAAACGAGGAACTCTTCATACTGGTTGGCTCTTTTGTTGCCTTCTTTATTCCTCTGGTCATCATGGTGGTCACATACTGTCTCACCGTCCAAGCACTTCAACGCCAGGCCACAGTCTTCCTCTATGAGGGCAAAGCTTCTTCCCAGCAGCCTTTGCAGCCTCCAGCTCCACCTTCTTCCCAGTTGGTCCCACCCTTGGCTCCATCTCGTCGCAGCAGTCTGAACTGCTTACGGATCAGCAACAGCGATGGAAATACACTCGGTTTGACCGTGCCCCCAGACACTATCTCAATAATCCCAAGTTCAGAAGCGCCATCTCAAATGAATTCACCCGCAGGACGGGACCCAGCTGGAGCTCATGGACGACGGGGGATGATGCAGGCCATCAAGAACGAGCGGCGAGCATCCAAAGTGTTGGGTGTAGTGTTCTTCCTCTTTCTATTCATGTGGTGTCCCTTTTTCATCACTAACGTACTGTACGTCCTCTGCCATAGAACCTGTAAGGAAACTCTACTCACGGAACTGCTCAACGTGTTTGTTTGGGTGGGTTACATCTCATCAGGGGTCAACCCTTTAGTGTACACTTTGTTTAACAAGACCTACCGAAGGGCGTTTTCAAACTATATGCACTGCCAATACAGACACGTAGGGCTTAAACCCATCACTATAAACGTTCCATGTCCATCCCATGCGGTAGTCACACCTATTCTGATGTGTGACAAAGTTTCCATTGACCGGAATAGTAACTGCCGCAATGGGGATGGGAATGGAATCCGAAATCTGGAGACTCTTGATATAGACACTGACACCGGACTGGAGTTGAAACCTGGAATATCAGAGATCTCTATAAGCAGCGGTCACAGTCACACAGAACACACCAGCAGTGTCTGAAAACAGGACAGGGAGTGACCAAGCTTTAAGTGTGGAGATGCTGTGCCCATGAAAAAAAATGTTACTCTGATGAACCGTCTCCTCAACCTCAGCTGTAACACAGCATAGAATGTATGCTGAATTAGCTCCAGAAACAATAATCTGACTGAGGTCAGAAAAGTGAGGGGGAATGTAACATGAACGAGTGTGTGTTTGTTTGTGTTAACAGGTTCAGATGTTTGAATGCCATTAAGTAATGCATGAACACCCAGTCTCTTATCAAAGCAGCACTGGACATTATGAGACTGCAGTCCATGCAAGATAGAGTGATAGCGTCCTCTTGTGGTCGATCGAGTAATTACAAAACAATCTAGTGTGAATCCAAAAAGTCCCTGTCATCCAAGCTAGTTGCATTACAATGGATGAAGCTATGCTGTCTACATACACTTGCAAATCAGATCATTCTTTGTGTAACTTGTAAACATATCCAATGCTACATGCTGAATCCTTTGAGTTGCAGTGAAACAATAATACAATATTCGGGTCATCATGTATTTCCTGCTCTAACAATGTAGAGGAAATGACTGCAGTTCTTTCCTCTGACCCAGAAATCTGGACCAAATTAAATTAGACAAAAGGGTTACATCATACCTATCTTAAAACTTTAAAACAAACATTCAAAAATACTAAAGACACAACAAATATGGCTTTAGTTTTGTTTTTAATGCAGTCCAAATTTGAAGCTTTATTTTTCTTCAGTTTTTATTGTTCAAGGACCGCCCAGAGGCCATCTGACTGACATGTATAGAAACCAATCCCAGTTTGTTTTGTTCCAGGACTTTTAAGGGATCTGAAAATGACAAGAGTAGTATAACTTTAAAAAAGTCTATGCCTGAAAGACTCGTTTGAAATCCCAGGGTTTAGTTGTACTTGTAAGTTCTAATTGTCACTTATATAAACACAATGGCTTTCCATATGAAGATGTATGGCATTATGATGGCTTTTTGTCCAGTTGAACAGTTAAAGAACGAGATGTGCCTCTCATGGAAATCCTGTAGATTTCATATAATTAATTGATGATTTCAAAAGTCTTTCCAGTTTTGTTTTCCATAATCAGCAGATATGCCAGCAATCCGTGGGTGGCCCAAACTGCTTCTCAAGGATAGTTTTTCAGCAGGTATTGAAGTAATTCAGCTCTCCTGTGAATGTAAGGTTTGTTGTGTGCTGCCTCATCAGTTGGTCATGACAGAGCGAGAGAAGAAGCAAAATTGCACAAGAGACATGAGTACTAATATCATTTACTTTATATGGACATTTATTTGGTGTCCATGGCAACAGATGTTGGTCTGCAAGACCAAAAATTATCATTTGAGGATGTCTAGGAACAAACAATGTAAAAAGCTGTAAATTTTTGCTGTTTTCCTGTGTAGAGCCTTAGAATTTCTCCTCTATCACCTACCCTTGCTCAAAGTCCATTTTTATACCATAGCCTGTGAATGTTTACCAGATCCTTTTTTGTTTAAAAAAACATCCTTGCAATGTCATCTTTTTGTGAAGCTGCTATTTATTTAATAAAAGACAATTCTCATTCATTCTGCAGCATACCTCAGGGTGGTAGTCATTGTGTTTTGTCAATTGAAGCATATCCAGCATGCATGTCATTTGTGTACATCTACTGAAAATGGAATCTATTTTTTCCAGGACCATGGACAGCGCCAGATGTGACAATAGACAGGAAATCTTTACACTGCATTGCATTTTTACCCTTTGGTTTAGACCATTTTTACACACACACACAAAAATAGTTAATGGATGATTTGTAACAAAATCATTGTTCTGTGCATGCTATCTCTAGTTTGCAATCTATTTTGGTATTTTGCCTGTACATTTATATATTTATATATATATATATATATATATATATATATATATATATATATATATATATATATATATATATATATATATATATATATATATATATATATATATATAAAATAAATATTATTATTAATATTATTATTAAATAATATATAATAAATAATATAAAATATTAATTTGGTTGTGTAAACTTTTTAATCAATCAGCCACATTACATTACACATAACGACTCAGTTTATTAAAACTACTTAAAGTGAATGTATTGTCTGATTAATTATTGCCTTATATTATTAATATTATTATATAAAATCTATTATCTATAAATATCTATGAATCTTAATATATTTTATAGCATATTTTACTAAAAACATTGTGCTGGTGTTGTCTTCAAGAAGATAGAGATTGTTTTACTGTTAAATGTAAGCCATTTTTTTTTTTACATTTTGTGTCAAAACAAAGTTCAGTCCATTTTTATCCATTTTATAAGACTGGCAATGCTGCCATCTATTGTTAGAAATATGAATAAACATAATATGAAACACATTACTCATAATAATTTGAGCTCTAATGTGCAGAATTTGGATTTACACTCTAATATGCAAGAACACATTCCTAAATTGTTAAGTGAAGAGTTTCACTATAGAAAAACTCATACATTTTATTTTACCTGCTAGCAGGGGCGGATTTAGTGATTGGGGGGCCCTAAGCAGTTCCAGCCATGGGGCCCAACAGTCCTAAAATGTAACCATTGTAGTTTTATTATTTATGTATTTACTTATTTATTTATTTTGAAGTGTTTGTCTTATATCACTGAATCTTCCATGTTCTATCTTAATGAAATCTCTACATTTTAAATTCTTTGTTTTCTTAAAATGAATTTACATTTTTTTTTAATATTTAAAATAATGAATTGTTTTAAAAACTGAATCTTTACCTGACTTGACTGCTCCATGACTAGTAGTGTAAGAGGAATTTGTGCAGATGTTGTAGTTACGTTACATTTTGATTTGTTAGACCCTCACCATACAAAATATGATTAAAAAATAATGTTGTGTGTATAATTTATACTTCTAGGCAATTATTGGCGGCCCCCAAATTTCCTGAGGCCTTAAGCGGCAGCTTACTTTGCTTACTGGTTAAACCCCCCCCCTGCCTGCTAGCTTACTTTTTACACGGGCTTCACGCGTGGCACTGGCGTTAATCAAACGATATCACAACATAAAACTACTCAATAAAATCTACCTTACTGAAGGGATCATTTTTGCAGAGATTTTCTGAGGTAAAGCAGGTTTTTTTTCTTCCTCCGCGGGCCGCGGCTTCAGATTGTGCTTATGTTGGTGGGAGGTGGTCATGGCTTCGTTGTGCGCATGCGCTCAGAGCAGCGTTTGTCGCGCTCGAGCAGAAGACTCGACGCTGTCAAGGAAACGCGCACGCTGGACGCATCGCTCCGAGATTTACAAACAACCCAACCTGTCTCGCGCATCGTTATTCACAGCATCCTTTGCAGAAATAAACATCATTTGACCGACGTATGCGATGTAACAAAACAGAGGAAGAGCGATATTAGGATTGAAATCAGAAAGACGCCTCGCCAGCGCTTGATATACACAGGTAAACGGGCTTTTTAATCGGTTTTGCATCTCTCATGGGCTCGGACAAAGCTGAGCTGCTAACGCTAACGTCGTGAGCAAATGCTGTGTTTTGATGAAACGAAAAGGCTGTGGTGTGTTTGGTGTGTTGTATGTGTTATGGCCGGGACAATGATTTATGCTGTTTCGTAAAAATGTTAATAAAATGGGATGTACATTTTATTTTTATTTGCTTTGGCGAGAGATCATGTGGTACGAACAAAAAAAATGTCTGGGGTTGACTGAGGCTGGGAACTTTGTTTGTAACTGCGACGTTATACATCCATATTTTTATGTTTACATAATTTATCAATCCTAAGTGGATTTTGTATGATTAAAGGTCCACAATTCCATATGGCTAAATGGTTTGTGAGGTACATTGTATTAAGCCATCAAAGCCAAAATATGATGAAATTAGGACTATTATAGATTTTTTTATTTCCTTTTTTATTGAGGTAAAGTTGGTTTTATATTCACACATTTGGACTTTCTCCTTAATAATAAAATTTTAAAAAGGTGTTCTTAGCAAATTCTCTATTGTGAAATCATATAAGCTGCCACTGACTATCAAAGTACAACATTGTTTACAGTCAAATAAAAAGTGCTAATGTTGTTTTCAAGTCATATTTACATGTGATTTCAGACCGAATATTCAAAGTACCTTTGTACACAGTATAGGGAACATGTCACAAGTTTTCACTGAACAAATATTCAAATATAAAATTGACTTTAGCTTAATCCTTTTTTTTTTCAGTTGGATGTCTTAAGTGTTTGTGTTAAAGCATGTAACGTTACTTTGAGTTATTTAAAACAGATGTATAAGTTTTGGATGGGACATTTTTCAAATAAAAATGTTTGTAACGTGAATATATAGATATATTTATAACTATGATGTACTAGGGCTGGGTGATTTGGCTTAAAACCAAATTCTCTATTAATTGAACATTTTAACTCGATTATGAATAATGAATATATACTTACATATTACAGATGGGAGATTTTTAAATGAAGGGTGTGTTACTTGATTTTAAAATAATTGAAAGAAACACACTATCTAGTATCTAAGATTATTTGTTGAACATCAACTTTGTACAAATAAAATTAAAGCACACATTTCCTAAAACGAACAATCACTTTTTTACTTATAAAAAAATGGAAAATATAAATAACTTGCACTTTTGGAGACAAAATGAATTATTTTCAGTGTTTTTCAATGTTCATATTAAAAGTAGAAGGTATAGGGTACCTATAGTAAATTAGGGTATGAGACCGTGCGAAAGCTGCACTATCCGGACCATACATGTGCACTTGACGCAGAAGTATAAACCAGCCAGAGCAGGGTCACATGAGTCCACATGCGGTAGGGAAAGTAATCGAAAAAATTTACCTGAAAAAAAAATAGATTGATTATAGGTTCTGAATGTCGATTTCAATTACTTTTTGATTAATCGCCCAGCCCTATAATATACTGTTCATGTCAAAAGATACCCAGGCCCTAAAAAACACATTACAGTATATTTTATTGTGAGACAGTATCAATTTTATCAAATTTACCAGAGTAAGTAATTGATGTCGAGTGCGCTTAGAATTTCAACAATGTCAGCTTTTTAATACTTTTGACCACAAGCTAAAATGGGTCTGTTTACTGTGGCATTGTTGTTTGTTCTGCCTACTGGACTTATACATAAGTCGTTGGGGTAAAGTTGGTTTTACATTTGCACATTCTGACTTTCTCCTTAATTTTAGTTTAATATTGATAAATATTATTAATAAATCATATTTATTATTTCGGAAAAGTATTATTTAGCAAATTTTAAATGGTGAAATCAAAATAGCAACCAATGACTATTGTTCACGGTCAATTAAATAGTGCTTATGTTGATTTGTAGTAATTTAAATGCGATTTCAGACACTATTCAAACTAGAATGCTAAACAATATAAGTGTCGGTAAAGGAACGAATGTGAGAATATAAAACCAACTTTACCTCAAGTCTTTTATTGAGGTAAATTTGGTTTCATATTGGTACATTCTGACTTTCTCCATAATAATATAATTTGGGAAAAGTATTATTTGCAAATTCTGAATGGTGAAATCATAATAGCAACCTTTGACTATCAAAATACAACATTGTTCACAGTCAATTAAATAGTGCTAATGTTGTTTTGAAGTCATTTAACTGTGATTTCACACCCAATATTTAAATTAGCATGCAACAATATTAGGATCGGTAAATTAATGAATGTGCGAAGTATTATTTTTATTATTATTATTATTATTATTATGAAAGTATAAGTATTTTAACATACAGTCCAAATATATACAGTACATGCCAAGTCTCACAAACAAACCATGCATTCTTAATGCATAATATAGATTTTAAACCTAATAACAGACTCCATTTAAATATGTTTATTCGTTCTTGCGTAAAATATGTTGAGGTTTGTTTGTTATTTGAACATGCTCAATTTTTAAGATTCTTGAGATTGAAAGGCAGTATATAAACTTATACACATAATAATAATATTATTTTGATATTTTTGTTTTTTGTTAATTTTTTTTTTCTTTTCATACACAGTGATTTTTATTTATTTATTCGAAAATGTTATTTTCAAGTCCCAGTGTGGACTTAGAAAAATGATGACGCAGTTTTAGTCATGAAACCAATTCAACTAAAATGGTGGGCAACATTGTACAGCTGAAGATTTGGATGAAGATGTTAAAGATTAAAATCCTTTTAAGAATACTTATAGTGTTTTTAGATGAAAATGCAGTTTTCAAAGTTAAACAGATTTGTGTAGACCAACGTAGTCTAAAACATTTGATTTCATTGAAACTTATAGACTGTACATGTACTCGGCTTCAGTTTTTGTGTTTGTGTGTTCAAGTAAAGCACTGCTCCCACTGAGATTTCAGCCACGACTTTCTCATCTGAGACAAATTTGGGAAATCCCAAAAGATTGCTGAAATCCTAGGCTAATATTTGTGGTCTTTGAGCGTTGGTTTGACATGTTCACAGACAGCCACTTAATGCACATTGCGATCAGATTTTCCCTTTGATGAAGTTCTGGCAGTGTCAGAAGATTTCAGACAGTGTTCTGCAGTGTGACAACAGCTGCGATGAGCTTCAATCCAAGAACCAATAGGAGCATAGAATCTGATGACGCAATCCATGCAACAATTCAAATGATGCAGGAAATGTTGAAACAGTTTTTTCCTGGTTTTATTATTGGTTTTATTATTGAGGCATGCGAGGAATCATTTCAGAATTCGGGATAGTGGAAGTGTCACGGGTGGATGATGTCAAACTCTGTGGGAGTTTTCTTCCATGTTTGCTGCATCTTCATTGTCGTTAAGTCTGGCATTATGACAGCTAAGATCTTACAGTGTTACATGGGAGCCATGTTCATGCAGTCTGACATACTACAATCATTCAGGATTATAAAAATCGCACAGTGTAATCTGGCCTTTGGAGAGAAAAACAAAGACATAAGTTTAACGTTACTCTAAATAATTGACTTTGCCTGCGTATAAATCGGGGCTAAGCAATTAATCGAAGGCAATTTTTATGAGTACTTTGTGAATAACGTTGACTATCTTTTCTACTTATCAAAGAGCCATGTTTTCCTGATAAGATGTGCATGGTAATTACAGCTGTTGATTTAATCACATTTGTGACTTTACATTTGACTTATCGCTCAGCCCTATTGACCTTATTTTTCACTGCTGAAGTGCGCTTGTTTTTGCAATTGTTTTAGTACATCTGATTCGGCTGTTAATGGTAGAAATGACTAAACGACGGTCAAAACGATCAAACTACTTGCTCTACAAACAAGTGTGTTTATGGCTATACATAAGAAGTAGAATAACATAATATAGAAACATTAGTTTGCATCATGAAGAAGTCCAACAAGCTGTTTTAACGTATAGTAATCAATGGAAGGGAAAGAGACTGGAGGTCTCAAGCCAAAAAGATTCAAATGGTTGAGCCCACCCGTATATAAAGAATATGGTCAATACAAATGGTTCTAATTCAAAGAATGTAATGTTTGAATTAGCCATGCTATGTTGTTGACTAGTTGGGCTAGTAGTTTGCTGACTTTTTGAAATTTCATTACCATTGTTTGATTTGAGCACTCTTCTTGAATATACATTTTACTGGGATATATACAATATCAGTGTTTGTGTGTTTTCATATCTGGGGTTTCACTGTCTTGACCTGTATTACCTGGTTAGGCAACACTTCGGAAGAAACTGAACAGCCTCAAGTTTTTGTCCTAGATTCCAATAGAAATGGTTATGTCGGAGTTTCAGCGCAGGTCAGAAATTTCCACTTTACTCGACATTTTTCTCAGTTGTTTTTCTTACCTGTAAGTCAGTTCATTCTATTGTCTGTATTCACTCAGCAGGCAACCTGTCCCCTCCGCTGTGTTTGTGTACAAATGAAAAGCAATCCCTGTGTAAAAGTGCTGTTTGCTGCTATTTTGCCTTTGCCTTTTGTTACCCGCCACCAAAAAAGGAAAATGCAAGCATGGCCTGTCTATTGAGCTCATCGAAAAGGCCTTTCCAGGTCACACTACATATCAGGATACTAGACAGCTGGACTAAACCAGTACCTTTCTCATTTTCTCTCTGCCATTCATTTTAGTTGGCAACACTGTTTTTGAGTCATTCACTTCCAGTTTCCAGTAAACAAACCCAAAAACAACCACATACACACTCAATCACAGCCTGGTTTACTGGCATGCTTACTCAGCAATATTAGGCAGCCGTTGGGCAGGATCGATGCTGTGTTGTTGTCACTGCACTTACTTTACATAAGTGTCACGGTGGTCATCATCGATGCTTCAAATCAATCCACTGCTGCACAATGTCATCAGTCTTAGCCTGGTTGGTCTGGATGCTGCCAGGGAGGGAGTTAATGAGTTCATAGAGTTTACAGTATGTACTATAAAGTTTCAGTATCGACAACCATATTTAAAAA